GGACTCATCAGTAAGCAAAATCATTTCCTAATTGGGTACATTCACAAAAAATTCACGATTTTTGAAGATTTTCATGAAAGATTTCCATAATTTCCAAGAAGACAGTTTACCATCTCAGAGCAGGTGTAGTAGGATGTTAAAGTTGGAAATTCAAACCTAAAACTAATTGGCCATAGTCCGTATAATATGATGTAAGGCTTAAAAGGCTGATGTGAGATTTTTAATTCTCAACACGTCCCATCACCTGAAGCTAGACTAAACCAAACACATGATTTAGTGGAGAGAGCCTCACATTCTGATACATTGCAAAGTTGGAGCTTTAAAGCCAAAACCAATTGGTGATGGGCGGACTGGAGACGCTTATTGAACTTCAAGGAAACTTTCCTCATCCCGCCGATGCACTTCACAAGAAAAACAAAAGCATATAGAACTTAACAAGTTCATATAAACTTCTGATATTAAAGTCTAACGCTCCCGAGATTACCATCCATACAAGTTAATCCATACTAACCATACCTAGTTTATGATACGGTTAAATCTTGTTTGTCCCTATATTTATTAACCTAATGTTTCAGATAATGTAAAGATGGTGTCTGTGTGCCTGTATAAGTTCTTTACGCATGTCTTTGTCTGTCGTTACTGGAACATTGTACCCTTTTTTGAATTTTCACGGATGTCTTCCACCCGGGTGAATACATGTAGGGTAAGCATACTCATCTATGACCACACCTACGTATAGCAAAATTTTTGGGAGGTAAAACATCTGTTCTCACCTTGGAAGATTTCCTTCTAGCCAAAAGTTTCATGATACCCGTTTAAGCTTCTTGAGGTGCTACTTCCTCTTTGTTAATGGAACCCACGCAAGGCTTGTGTACGCCGAACTTTGGAGCAACTTTCTTATAAGCACGACTTGGTATATGCCAAAAGATTATCTCTGGAGCCCTGTCAAATAAAGCTTTCTGTCATTGATAAGAAAAGAACAGTAAACCTGTACTCGTTAATAAGGTTAAAGACAATAGTATCAGGTAATACTTCCATACTTTTCTACCTTGAATCAGGGTTAATCTCTAGAGCTTTCTGCCGGAACCATTCTGCTTGGGCACTGTTTCTGGGTAGGAATCACCACCGGAATCCAGGAAGTACAAAAATGCCACAGGTGACTTGGGATTTTCTGATGACAAAACTTGGAGGACATAGTTGGATATACCAGGCCAAAGATCTTTTGGGCCACGTCGAGAATATGATAGCGTATTAAGCTTAATCTCATTTTTCACTAGCTCCAGATCGACGTTTTGTGCCCCTGAAGCTACAATCTTTTTGCCCTACAAATCAGAAGGTGTTGTAAAAGAACTAGTATAAAAATTATTAACAATTCTTACTGATTATCCTCCTAAAACGACGATAATGTACCTAAATCAATTACAAGGGGAGAATCATACTTTATAACAGCATTGACATATTTATTTGCATTGATCAAACTCAAAGTTTCAAAAGAAATATGATAACAATTGAGGGCAACACAACTTAAAGAGATTGAATTAATTGAACAGTGGTTGATACTCCTAAACTAATAGATATCAGAAACTGTCAAGAGTCTCCTGCTTTTCGGTTCATCAAACACAGATTTGAATGCCTTCATTCAAATTTATAACAACATTAATTTTGCAGTCTAGAACGAACAGTCAGAAAAAATAAGAGTTGGCACTTCGACGTGAATATGTTCATGCAAAAAAAAGTTGACGTAGGCGATTTTCGTTTAGGTGTTTATGTTTCCATTCCAACTTTTTGAAATAGGCCTACATGAAAGAGGTCTTCAATGCTAAAAGTGGAGAAATTAGTCACTATTAAGAAGTACCGAGCAAAAGCAAACAAGTTGATCAAAATTGTGGACACATAACAGATCAAACTTGTAATTCACCTGAGCAGGATGAATTGGCTACAGGACGATGAATTTTAGGAATTCCAGGAGCCGAAAACCACTCAATCGGCCACTCAAATGCTGCATCGTCATGGTTTCAAATGCATGATCCCAGTACAAACCTGCATTTCTGATTACTATATTATTGGATGTCATGACGCCTCCGAGATGGATAATAAAATCTGCAATGTACGTACCATTCATTAGAATATATGACAATATAGCAGATAAAAAGTGTTGTAATCAGAATGCTAAGACGTGCTAAATAATTGACAGTGTAATGTTTCATTCCTTCTTTCCTTGAAACATGCATGTATACACAAGCTAGACCAGATAAGAATTTCAAGTTTTTACTAGCTTCACGACAACAGAAATGTGAAAAACGAACATATATTTGATACATAATGGTGTACATATTTCATTTTAAACCTTTTTCTGTGTAAGGGAAGAATATAGTTTATAGAAAACAAGACACTAAACTCTTATATTCATTTCATTTATGACATCTATGGTCATAGCATTGCATGTAGCATCAGATTCAACTCTACAAAACGTCTACCAGTAAGCAGTAACAGCCAGCCATTTTGCAAAGTGACTGACATCATCTTAACCTAATGGTCACCCAATGTTTACGTTGGTTTGAAAATGACTATTGTTCCGTACCATTATGGAAGATGAATAAACTAGTATATTGAGTAATAATAACTCCCCTCCAATTAAGAAAATGTAGAATTGAGATTAAATTGTATGGAACTGGCCTCTATATTGGTCGGATCCAAAGTAGAGCAGTGCAGAAGGTTTGTCGAAAAAGGAAGTTGTATGATGGTTAAGCTTTTATCTTTATGTTAATTAGATCTAAATTGGTGAAGGAGACTGAGTACCTTCTAAGAAATGTTTGTAAATGTAAATAAAAGCCGTAGTTAAGTGAAATACCCAAAGATATATATGATTGCCATATGAGCATTGGTGAAATGATGAAAACCAAGGTTCTAAAAAACGCTAGACGCTAGTCGAGCGGCGGGTTGGCGCCTAGCGCCTAGGCGGCTAGGAGGGGTTTAGGTGGATTTTGGTAAATTTCTTGTATATCTTGTAAATAAGTGTATATTGACATTTACAAAAAATTATACTTGTATGAAATCTATAGATAAGATAATAAAAGAATGATAAAATGCAAAAAGAGTATCCAACAAGTCCAAAATTTAAAAACACATTAAGCATATATGCCATATAACCATAGCGAGAAGTATTGTAGGATGATACATGTACAACAAGTTCACAATTTTAAGCCACTTAGACTTAGATAGGATTTTTTATTTTATTTTTTAATTTCATTATAAAAAAAATTTAAAAAAAAAAAAAAAAAAACCGCCTAGCACTACCTAGCCATGCCTAGCCCCCCTAGCTGGCTAGGCCGCCTAGACGGCCGCCTAGAGCCCATCTGATTTTTCCCACCGATTTGCAAGAAAACGCCTCGACTCATCACCGCCCAAGGCCTAGGACGATTTTTAGAACATTAATGAAAACATAGTTAACCCCAAAATTCTATGGTCCAAAACCAACACTGGGTTATGACAACGGTCGCAGATGTAGCTAGTCGTAACCTTTCGGCTTGGTCGGTGTTCGCCCCCTAAATTCGTTATGGGCCTTGCGAGTATACTGGGAATTTACTCAAACAAGAAACTGGTGGTTGCGATCGTGCCCTCTACTAGTTGCCACTAGTGGACGAGATTTAAATGATTAAGATTGCGTCTGAGTTCAACTTCTAATCAAGAGATTGCACCATTGAGTGAGAGTGGCTCAAATCAAGGTTATTTCTTTGCCTTTGATGATAAGGACTTTACTTATGAGGAGAGATGTAACAATATGTAAATGGTACGTTTGCTAAATGACAAGGGAAAGTGAATGACTGGTATTGTAGATTGCTTGTAAATTAAATGAATGGAAATGTAGTTGTACAGAAATGTAATTATTTAAAGTACAAAGCATTAGAAGTACAAATAGATGCCAAATACAAGGCTGGAGCTTGTTCTCAAGGAATCAGCAAGTCGCTTTAGTCTTGAGGGCAATTTATGGTGGTTTGGGGAATGGGTTTGAAGGTTGAAATGAAAATACAAAAGAAATCGATACTGCCAAGTGAAAAACAGAGCTTTAAAAGGAAATACAAGGCTTTGAAAGGAAATACAAGGCTTGTGCAGGGAATTGAAGTTTTAAAAAGGGGTGCTAAGCTAATCTATTAAGGAATTGATTTGAGTAGAGTTGTTTGATTGATTGGTTGAGTTTTTATAATCCTTCTACCTTTGCTTATTTATATAGAGAATTAAGAGAGCTCTTATGCTGAAGACATTTAACCTATACAGAGAAGTTTCACCGCTGACTCCACTTGCAAGAATAGAAAAAGAAGCCAACTTGCATATGAAATAATATTAAAAGAAGCCAGTTGGTTTTTTACCACATGTCCATCTCCCAAGTCTACCAACATCCTTACTTGCAATAAAGCCACTGCTTCAAACCATGTAGAGAAACATTACCACATGCAACTTTTAGTCCATTTGCACACAAATCTCTCAAAATGTCATATTTTGGCTTTAAACTTAAATAAGTAAAATTGTGCATATTTTAAGTGCAAACAATCATTAGAGCGGCAATTATGGTGAAGATGAGCAGAAAGAAGATGATGATGTACGGACATGATGTGAAGAACAAGAAATGCCCCATCTCTGTCAACGTCATCACTCAGCAGGCAGCACAGCAGGCGCGCTTTGGTGTTGTTGGCATTTTCATTCCATATGAAGCAAGGACATGGCTAATTGTCTTAAGGGCTTTTGGTGGGAAAGAGGCTAAAATGGCAAAATTGTCCCTGAATTTGTACTTGTTTTGGATTTATTTTTTTCACAATGCAATATCACAATTTTCTTTTAATTAAAGAGTAAAAGATTTTACGTTCGATTGTCTACTTTGACGTATTCTAACCAGAATGCGTCTATTATATGATTTAGCCGAATCTTTATTATTTTTCTTTTTATCAAAGAACAGATTTTATTGAATAAAATCTAATAAATAAGTTTACATCATCCGCAAGGATATTGTTGCAGCACCGGCTGATGAAGACTTTTATTTTATTTGGGACTCGCAACATCCCAATCGATGCCCATTCATGATTAACGAACCCATCTTTGACATATATATTCATGATCCGAGGCAATTTCTTGCGGCACCCCATTATTCGTTGACTTAACACGGCAGCAAAAAGACGACACAACAGCAGCTCGACCAAAAACTAGCTGGGAAACAAAAAAAACACTGCAACTAGTTCGACAGGAGGACGAGGAGGAGGAGTCTGTCGGAGCGAAAATGGATCTCGAAGCAGGCCAACAGGTACTATGGCACCGCCCCGGTGATTCAATGGCTGCGCTTTCAGTCTCTTGAAATAGCCTCCCTTGCAGTTGCACACCAACTGTTTGACAAATTGCCCGACCGAAAGTTCAAAGTTCGAAGCATGAGTGTAAAATGGCCGAGGCTGCTAACACCCACACATCTCTCTCAGATTATACGAAAGCAGAAAAACCCATTGACGGCCCTCCAAATTTTCACTCAAGTGAAATCCAAGTACCCCAATTACCGTCACAATGGTCCAGTCTACGCCACCATGATCAGCATTCTCGGAAACTCTGGCCGAGTTGCTGAGATGAAGGACGTGATTAACAAGATGAAAAATGATTCCTGTGAATGCAAAGACTCAGTTTTTGCAACTGCAATTAAAACCTACGCGCAAGCTGGATTGCTGGAGGATGCAGTGTCTCTGTTTAATAACATTTCCAAGTTCAACTGTGTGAACTGGACGCATTCTTTCAATACCCTTTTGGAGATTATGGTGAATGAGTCCAAGCTTGAAGCTGCTCATCGCATTTTTGTGGAGCATTGTTGTGGGTGGGAGGTGAGCTCTCGGGTTCGGTCCTTGAATTTGCTCATGTTTGCTTTGTGCCGGAAGGGTCGTTCAGATATTGCCCTGCAAATTTTCCAAGAAATGGATTATCAGCATTGTAATCCGGATAGGGAAAGTTATCAGATTTTAATGAGAGGGTTGTGTGAAGATAAGAGGCTCAATGAGGCAACCCATTTGTTGTACTCGATGTTTTGGAGGATTTCTCAGAAGGGTTGTGGTGAAGATGTTGTAATTTATAGAACCTTATTGGATGCCTTGTGTGATAATGGGGAGATTGACAAAGCTGTCGAAATTCTTGGTAAGATATTAAGGAAGGGGCTCAAGGCCCCTAAGCGGTTTCGATACAATCTTGATCTCAGTCTTTATGGAAATGGCAAAGACACGGGAGGCGTGAAGCTGTTGATTAATGAAGCTCTGGTTAGAGGTGGGATTCCCAGCTTGGCAAGCTATAGTGCTATGGCAATTGATCTTTACAATGAAAATAAGATTGGTGAGGCTGACAAAGTGCTCAAGGAAATGCTAGATAACGGCTTTAGGCCAACAGAGTGGGTCTTTGAAGCAAAGGTGGCTGCATTGAGTAGTGAAAAGAAAGTCGTTGAAGCAGTGGAGGTGATTGAAAAGGAGATGGTGGAGGCAAACTGTGTACCAACTCTAAGAGTGTACAATGTTGTGATTAGATGCCTTTGTAGTGAAGGGCAATCGGTTCTTGCCATTACGTATTTGAAGAAGATGGCAAAGCAGGTGGGTTGTGTTGCTGACAAGAAAACTTATGGCATTTTAGTGGATGGGCTTTGTGAGGAGAGACGATTTCTGGAAGCAAGTCGAGTATTGCAAGAGATGTTGATCAAGTCACATTGGTCCTGTGCTGAGACTTACAGTCGAGTGATTAGGGGTCTTTGCTCAGTGGGCAGGCAATATGAAGCTGTTATGTGGTTGGAGGAGATGTTGAGTCGGGCTATGCTACCGGAGCATTTGGTATGGAACTCATTGGTGGCATCTGTGTGCTCTAACATAGCCAATGTTGAGGTTTGCTATGAGACCTATAACCGACTACGAAATTCTTAATTGTCTCTTGCTCTTATTTATGCATTTTCATTTGTGTACACCATCTAGTTGGTAGTTATAGTAAAAGAAGACCTCTTTGTTCTGTAAAAATGAATTTTATATAACAACAGCATAGCTCCTCACTTTCGTATGATACTTCTTATGATTCCGAAGAGGGAACAAATTCGAAGGATTGTGTTTGTATAAAAAGGGTATGATTTGCTTTGAAGATATCTAATCCGTCTTTGTTATGTTTTGGATGCTGATGCTGTGGTATCTTGTCGTTCAATGAAATCTGATTTGATTTGTCGGGGAACGGAATATATATTCACAACCTATATGGTGAGATTTTTATTACAATGTGGCTCATCTTAAGGACACAATAAATGAAATTTGAAAAGTTCTAACACATTTTGTTGCAGAATTGCAGTGAGGGTCTTCTTGTTTTGACGGAATTTGGAAGACTGTTAATGCATGATCGTCTTGTTACAGGAACAGATACCATATCAGACTGGTAATTCTTACTTGATAACCAATTTTGTGGTAGATATGCTACGACTTGGACTTGATTTTGGGTTTGATAGTCTAACTTTAACGTGATTGAAACCCAAGTCTGCTGCAAAATTCAAACCCAGCCCTGTAGCACACGCACAAACAGAACCTTGGACTTTCTAGGTACAACCTCCTATGAAATCCCTTACCTCATTATGGATGACAACCCCCACTCCTCTAATAGAGCCTCGGGACGGAATTGCCCCATCAACATTTAATTTTACTTCGTTTGGTGTGTAGTTAATAGATTAAATCAAACTCATCTAACAAAAATTAATAGAAACTACTACTGCTTATCTCGAACGACCTTTTGCAAGGACTATTTCTGTAGAAGAAAAAAAAAGAAAAAGAAAAATTGGAATATCTCAGTTTGCTATATATCTCACCTATTGTACATTAATAAACTGAAATATCTCACTTTCCTATGTATCTATCGTGTACATCTCAACCATTTCGTTAATTGCCTTCATTGGAAAGGACCAACGCATGTCAAGATAATATGATGATTAAGATTTAGACGTTTAGGCATAATTTCATAGATTTATTTATTTACTAATGTTAAGAAGCTAGTTACGATTTTGTTGTTTTCATAATATTTTGCCAAGCTGCTCGTCCGCGGAAACTTTGATTAGAGGCAAGTAATGTTTTGATGAAATATAATTATGTTTTCATACTGATGCTGCACTGCTGGTTCTTTGTTTTAGGCGTCCATTACACCACGCCACAAATTCGGAGGCAAATTACTCCTTTTTTTCAGTAAGGCTACGTTCGGGTGATGGACTTGTAAGTGCCTAGGGATTTAGGCTAACCGATGAAGAGATATACTAAAAAGGGGGGGTTGAGAAATGCTTTCCGTGATCATTTGGTCTTGTCGAGAACAGAACTCTTCCTGTCCATAGTAATCCGGACATAAGCCCACCTGAGCACTTTGTTTAATTTATAGGTACAAAACCAATCTTTTCGGCTTGCTCCGTTGCATAAATATCGATCAATCCGCATGATTTCCTGTTCCTTGCTTGTTTTCGTTTGAACACCCCGGCGTTGGGCTCACTTAATCTGTCATCAAAGGCTGACTTCGCAACGTGGTTACCTAAGGGGGCATCCCTCGGCACCAGATTGACTTAAACGCTCCTAGTAACCCCGATACCGAAGGTTTTTAATAGGAAACACCTATCAAAATCCTTGGATTGGAAACATGTATCGAAATCCTTTTGTCAGATCCTATGTTGAACGGACTTGGACGTATTCTAAATCGGATGCCTGGAACAGTCTGCGAGTCAGAGTCCACTTTGAGCACTCCACTTTAAAGCTTTATCACCTTCTTCGGACATGCTGGCTCAAAGGCGACATGACTTGGGGTCCTGGACTTTGGCTGTTTCCCTAATCCCGATTGTTGACCACAGAACTAAGGGTTGGTTTTCACAATCACTTGGACTGTCATACTTTTGGAAAGTCCGATAGCTCAGCTCTTGGTGACTTAAAACAGTTGGGCGGAGTAGCCCTACTTCCTACTTTGAAAGCTAAAACAAACGGATAGCATCTTTTGAACAAATGATATTATCTACACCAAGGGGTTATGGGCTAGCAATAATATGATTCAAATTCGCCTTTGACAAGATTCGAATCTAAGACTTCTCACTTACAGGCGAAGAGGAATACCACTAGACTGTAATACTAATTAGCACAAACGGATAGCATCTAACCTAGCGATATTCCACGGTTTGGTTCGGAGCGTCGTTTGCATGGCGGCAAGGTTGTACGTGCCTTTACCATCAACTCCAATGACACGATAAGGTCTTTCCTCGTTTTCCCTGACTTTGCACCTGTCGGGAATTTGTGTATCCTGGAACACTTGTAACATCCCACAGAACATTTGTAACATCCCACATTGCTTAGGGGGGAGTAGATCATGTAAGCCCTATATGTATTATCCCATCTCTACCTAGCACGAGGCCTTTTGGGAGCTCACTGGCTTCGGATTCCATTGGAACTCCGAAGTTAAGCGAGTAGCGCACGAGAGTACTCCCATGAGTGGTGACCCACTGGGAAGTTCTCGTGTGAGTTCCCAGAAACAAAACTGTGAGGGTGTAGTCGGGACCCAAAGCGAACAATATCGTGCTACGGTGGTGGAGCAGGCCCGGGATGTGGTGGACCCTGGGCCGGGATGTAACAATTTGATATTAGAGCCTAACTCTGGCCGTGGTGTGCTGACGAGGACGTCGGGCCCCTAAGGGGGATGGATTGTAACATCCCACATCGTCTAGAGGAGTGGATCTTGTAAGCCTTATATGTATATTCCCATCTCTATCTAGCATGAGGCCTTTTGGGAGCTCACTTGGAACTTCAAAATTAAGCGAGTAGCGCACAAGAGCAATCCCATGAACCTACTGGGAAGTTCTCGTCTGAGTTCCCAGAAACAAAACCGTGAGGGCGTAGTCGGGGCCCAAAGCAAACAATATTGTGCTACTATGGTGGAGCGGGCCCGGGATGTGGTGGACCCTGGACCGAGATGCGACAACACTTTCTTAAAACAAGATTCCCAACTTGAAAACTTCTTGGTCAACACCTTTGATGTAGTATAAACGGATCTTTTGTTAATAAGTCGCTAGCCGGATCCTAGCTTGCTCTCTCCGCCCCTCAAGGAAGTCCAGCTTCGCTCAGAGTATTCCTTCAATTTTGATCTACATTTGTTTCTCCGTGTGCATATTGGCATAGTGGTGACCTGGACCAAAATGATAGCTTCGGTTACGTATGTCAAAGAGAAGGGAGTTTCACCAGTGGCCGCCCTTGCAATGATTCTAGAGGCCCATAGAACACTAGGAAGTTCTTCTAGCCACTTGCCTTTCTTTGCTTCAAGTCTCTTTACTAAACAATTAAGGATCATCTTGTTACTATCGTTTCCTTCAAAAAAGGATCATCTTGTTACTTGTTGGAGGCTTTGGCTTGCTCATTAGAACACCAGGAAGTTCTTCTGGCCATTTACCTTTCTTTGCTTTAAGTCTCCTTACTAAACAATTAAGGATCGTTTTGTTAGAGGCTTCGGCTTGGTCATTCCCCTGAGGATATTTCGAAGTGGACGTTAAGTACTCGTTAAGTGCTCGATGCCAAGTTCTTTGTACCAATCTGTACCAACTGAATCAGAGAACTGCAGCCCGTTATCAGAGATAATGATGTGTGAGATGCCAAATGACATTCGATATTTTTCCAAATGAAGGATTTGATAATAGATGCCGTTATCTGCTAAAAAGTTTTGGCCTCGATCCACTTGGTAAAGTAATATGTTAGCCTTCTTGAGTGGACCGATTGAGTCGATGTCCCATTGCGTAAAGAGTCATGCACTTAATATAGTGTTGAGCTCTTCTGCATGCTGATGATTCATCGGAGCCTACTTTTGGCACTTATTACAAGTTTGATCACAATCTTTTGCAACTATTTGCATGCTTGGCCAATAATACATAGAAATAAAGGCTTTCTGAGGGAGGGATTGTCCACCAGCGTGGTTGTCAAAGAGACCCCTGAGTGGATGTTGTCTAGAATCTCCACGCCCCATTGCGGAAAGACACACAAGTGTGGTCCAAATTCATGTGTTAGAGCGGTTACTTTTGCATTCATGATTTAATAGGGATGAAGGAGACGTAAGCTAGCTAACAAAGCCAAATCAATTAGATCCCATCTTTATGTCACAATGAAAGTTTAACATTTTCTCGGACCCATCAAATCAATTTGTTCAATTTAGTCCGTACAAGATATAAGGAAATGTGTTCCATGTGCAGACATGAGTTAAGCAGAGTAGCATGCTCGCTTCATTGTGCACAAGTTCGAATTCTTCTCCCCGCAATTTAGTTGGAATATGTGTCGTCTTTTTGTAAAAGAAGTCTTCCCTTCCCAATTCTAGAATTATGTTCAACATCATATACTAGTATGACTTTGTCAAAAATCTTATATTCTAAATTCGAGATACTTTATGCTATTCACCTAGGGTGTTTCTCGGAAGGATCGGATCAGAAAAATGTTTCCAATTTTCATTCCAAACTTTCAAAATCAAATCGTATTGGATGACAATTTTTTAATTCGTGATTTTTAGCATATTCGGAAATAGAGCTGCTCTCCTAAGGTCTTCATTTTGAGGACATATGAGGTCCTTTTTCAGATGAGTTATCAGATTAATCTTATTGTAGTTAAGCTACCAACTAAAATAATTCATGTTATAAGGAAACAAAATACTTGACAAAAAAAATATTAATAAGAAGAAAGAAAAGGTTTCACGACATGTCTAATTCCTTCCATTTGCAAAACTTAATCTCCTCAGCGAATATCTAAACTCAACAAATCCAATTGCATAAAACCCTAATAACTTTACACATCCAATTCCATTCAATCATTTATCAATAATATTCAAACTGAGTAAGTTACAAAGCACCAAAACATTGAGATTGTGTGGTTTCGAAAATTGGAATCCCCTTCTTCGTGAACACACGAACCCTTTTTTCATATGCAATTTAATGACGATGCTGAAAATTTTGAAACAGATCCCTCTTCCTTTTTCATAAGCGATATGGAAAAAACAAAATACTCAGAGGAGAGACACCCAATAA